AAAGAGCTTTGTCTCCGCGAGCGCGACCTCCCGCTCGTTAAGCCTCTCGTTGCACTCGCGAGTGAGAATTGAATTCGGAATTCAATCGATCGGAACACGAAACGGATTAAAATAAAAATGATCAAACTGATCGAATTCCAATCTCCAATTCCTCAGACTCCATTGTCTCCAACGCGTAATGTGACATAGACTCTATTTCTCGCCTTGTTCTTTTGACCGTTCGTCGAGAAACCGAGAAAATCGAGTATCACTCACTTTACTCGACGTCCAGGCGCGTCCTCGCGATATAGAACATAGAATATATAGATATTATAGATTATCCGCGCGAGATAGTCCCATGTCCCATGTTCACGCCCCCGGGCATGAGCAACGGGGAGGATGGATATATGCATACTAACAGTACTCACAGCTTAATTACACCAAGCGTAAATTCTCTCGTCGCGTCGTGTCGTCCGCTCGGCTCGGCTCGGCTGATCCCCGGGGTCGAGCCGTCGAGTCGAGCTATCCCGTCAACCGCAGGTCGCGGCGGGGGGGTGGGGGATGGAAAAAAGCGCGAGACGGCGCCAGACTGACAGGTACGCGGCGTGTTATCGAAAAGCGACGCTACTGTTTTACACGGGAGAAAGACGGCTATTATCGTGCGATAATGTAGCTAATATAGCGAGGCTGCCGACTGTGGCATAGGACAGGACTATTTCGCCCCGCGGATCGACCTTTCGAAATCGCGAGTCGTGCGAGATCGATGCCCGGTCTATATAATCGAGCGAGCGAGATAGTAAACACGCTCGTGTTAGATTTTTGCGCATCGTGTGGGACGCGATGCATACGAGACGTCGCGCGTCACACGCATCGTCGGTCGGTTCGCGCGAATCGATAGCGGCGTGCAACGTGCAAACGCTTGCACAGGCGCGCGCGCGCGTGTTCTCTCTCGCACGGCTCTAGAGTCTAGAGCCCAACACACACACACATACAATGTGATATGTATCCATATAAATACACATATCATGTCAACAAATGGTCTGTTTTCTGTTCCTGCACTAGACTGTTCTAGAACTCTCTAGCTTTCGACAAATATCAAACGTATATCTATCTCACTTTAAGTGTTCCTAAAGTGTACCCTAGTGTACTGTAGTTCAGCCACAGAAAACAGACCTAAAAAATACGCAATATGTACATATACACAAATACGTGCATGTACATAGGATGCCGCACGAATGTTATACCATTTCATTGATCCGATGTATCAATTTTTAATGAAATTGGCACACAAAAACTGCTACAAAATTCTCCCCAAAGCCCATAAATTGGATAATAAAACAGTACATTTCCTGCGCCACTCAGTATACATTATAAAGAGATAAAAGAGTTTGTTACATCCATTAGAAAATGTATTTTGTCGTATCGTTACATCATTTTTGGTTAGTACTATAATCGTTACGATAATTACAACTTATAATTACGAACTCGACAAGAGGATTACATTTGGAGAAAAAAGCTTTCAATAGAAGATGCGCGCGTTTTATTAATGGCTGCGTTCAGCAGAACGTTTATTTTGCAACAGTTGAAAGTTTTTTTTCGCGCTGATCGAGTTATGCTTTTAGATCAAGAGGAATGGTCCTATCTCAGCAAATAATCATAAAACGGTTGTGTTCCGTTGAACGCAGCCAATATCAATAGCGACAGCCGAAAAAAAAGCCATCTACGATTGCGTTTCATTGTTCATCGCAAGTACTGAAAATCTTTAGCATATGTGAGCTACAGATTCTCAATATTCGCAGTGAATAATGTGTACGTTCCATACATGCTTGCAGAAAAAAATTTTGCGCAGTGCCAATTGCAGCCCTCTTGTCGTATTTTCAATAATATGTTTATGATTAGATATTTATTAATGCATTTCCTTAGGGATACATGAAACACTTACTTAGTTTCTAAGCTTACAATATAATATTTATATACGTAATATGCACGAAATCCACTATAAGTAAATTTTTTTAATTCTAAGGAGTGAGAACTAATGCAAATCGAACTATATGCGCGTTTAACGTGTAATATTATCACCAATAAACTAATCAACTACCTGTTCTCTGTTCTATCACTCTTCAATACATGTAGACATATCCCTTTATACGAAAAGTGCATACCGGTAAGTAAATTTGTTTGTATGTAAAGAAGTGTTGAAAGGACAATGTAGATTTGCTCCCATAAAGCAATACAACTATCGTTGTAAAATCAAGCGCTAATACCTGGCGTTCTATCAAACAAAAAAAAAATACCATGAAATCTACGCGATATATGCTACGTGTTTTATTTCTGTTAATCCGGATATAAAATAAAAATAATAACTTTCTATAATTTCAACTTCATATTAAAAATAAATTACAATTGGTTTTTTAACCTGTAATTTTTCTTAATCATTGTATGAATCGTGAATCATCTGACCGAGTTTGAAAGTCTAATTAAGACTCACTTGTTATTCGTCTTTTCCAGGTATCTATTACAGCAGTTGGCAGTGTGTTAACTATGATAAATATACACGGAAGAGAGTCAAGAAAAATTTGAGATTGTTTAGAAACATACAATATCGAAATAATAATAAAATGAGAACGCTCTGTGTATTGTTTGTGAACGGTTTAAGCGCGTTCACCGCGAATTCGCCGTGCCAGTTGTATATCTTTTGGCATGATCGTGACACGTTTGGCGTGAATGGCGCACAAATTCGTGTCTTCGAACAGGCCGACCAGGTAAGCTTCCGACGCTTCCTGAAGGGCGCCTATAGCGGCGCTCTGAAAACGTAGATCGGTTTTGAAATCCTGAGCGATTTCACGAACCAGACGCTGGAACGGCAATTTCCTGATGAGCAACTCCGTGGACTTTTGGTATCTTCGGATTTCTCTCAGAGCTACAGTACCGGGCCTGAAAAGAAGATTCGAAATAGAAACATTCTTAAAAAAAAAAAAAAATTGTTTAAATTTCCTTCTCTCAAAGATATCAAATTTTACTCTGAAACAATTATATTTAACATTAAATATATCAATTACATATATTTAATATTTTCTCACAAGTTCTACATTAGAATTACTATCAAAATTGTTACAAAGAATTATTCAGTATTTTAAAATTGACAAACACATCTTTGATATTTTCAAAACAAACAATTTATCAAAGATAAGTTTATACTTGTGTGTGTAGATACACAGCCATACCTGTAACGATGAGGTTTCTTGACGCCTCCAGTGGACGGCGCGCTTTTACGTGCCGCTTTGGTGGCAAGCTGCTTCCTGGGTGCCTTTCCACCCGTTGACTTACGAGCTGTCTGCTTGGTACGTGCCATGACGATGAGCGAGCTTTCGTTGTTTTCTTCTCTCTTCTAATTGCGGACCTCTGTCCCTAGTGAGACAAAGCATCAAGATACATACGTTAAGATGTTAAGACGCGTGGTAGGGGGGAAAGCGGGAGCAAGCTATAATCAGTGACCCCCGCCATGCATACCAACGCACGCATACACTATGCAGCAGGGGAGGGGGGAGACAGAGGAAGAGAAAGGGCGGAACGAAAAAGGAAAAAAAAAGAAAACCGGACCGATCGCCGGATATCCGTCACGCGATTCTCTCCCGGGATCGAGGAATACGAAATTTTACAGGATGAAACGTGATTTAAACGAATACGAGAAAAACGAAACCTCACGACGCGTTTACGGACGTACCGCGACGATAATTTCCCTCCAAAAGTAAGCACGCACAATAAACAAGATGGCGGCAGGCCGAGTGCATTTTCCCGAGGCATGCAAGACGAGCACGACTCCGCGGCCCCCCGCCAGCCCGAGTCACGCGCGTCCGTGCAAACTTCTTCGTGCCTCGGCATTTTTCCATCGCAAAGCGATATTTCTCGCAGTTTTTCGCGATTTTCTGGCGAAAACGTACGAGAAACGCGTACGTAGTTTAACCGACGGTCGCAATCGCACGCGAAACGACTCACCTGATTATTTCTGCCTTTGAACGCAACGACGCTTCTCACAAGTCACTTCGATCGTGAACGAACCTCACGACTGACGCGAATGTCGCGACATACAAAGACTAAAGACAACAGAGAGTACTAGAGCGCCTCTAAAGGGAGAGAGTGGCAAACTGCGTCACGTGACTCGATTCCTCTGATTGGACGCGGGCATTCAAGTCGTGCAATCTGCCACTTGCTAAATTCACCCTGCAACCGATGTGCGTCGTACGGCGCTCTGCAACCAATCAGAACACAGGATTTCTCGTCAACCGATGTGCGTCGTACGACGTAAATCGGATGCAGGGTGAATCCAACAACTCTCTTTCTTCGAGGCTCTCTAGAAAGCATCGTCGAGCACTGTTGCAGATTGATTATTCAACACTAGAAACACAATACTCTATTCGATACCAGTGTCTTCAATCTGATGCGCTGATCTAAAATGCTGATTAGAGGAGCTAAAAGAATACACCAATAACAGTGAGCGCTCGCTGTTATTGGTTATTCTTTTAGATGGCAAACATTCGAGATGGCAGTGACGTAGTATCGAGCATCCTACATGTATGTATATAAAAAATAAGAAAACTCAAATAAATTATTACAAGAACGAAGGACTCTTAATTTAAAAACAATAACGAGAGAATAAAGGGAATAAGAGTCAAATATAATAAAGTATATTAAAACATGAAAAATCAAAAGAAAATTCAAATATTCTTACACATTGATTAAATTTGATTAACGTACTATTACATAATTTGTACTCATTTTGTATACGTGGTGTAATTTAAAGTTCGATACATACAATGCTCTTACATTATTTAATTTGTAACACAGAAAAAGATACATAAATTCTATATTGAAGACGGCACTGAAAAGTATGGAGGGATCATTGAAATATAATACTACTGGAACGAGAGCGCAGCTATGCTGCCTTTGTTAAAGTAATCCGAGAGACAGCGTTCTCTCTCATAAACAGATGAAGATATCGCGAAAGTGGAATCTTCGTCCTTTTCAAACTTATACTCGGCTATAATTGCGCATGTGCAGTAAACGGTAATGCACATGTACAGTCGCATAGCTAAGTATAGATTAGAAGAGGATGATATCACTTGAACATTCTTTTGACTGCGTTCAGCGGACTCAACAGTTAACTGAGCGCTCGCTATTATTGATGTATTCTCCCAGATCTAAAATGCTAATTGGATGATCTAAAAGAATATATCATAAACAGCGAGCGCTTACTCAACTGTTGAGTCAGCTGAACGCGGCCTTTGTCGTATCGCGAAACTAGCGCCAGAACTCATTTTGCTAGTATTATATTTCAGTGGAAGGGATACACGAAAAGAGCTCTGGTATGTACGTACATTCGTACCGTTCTTGCATTAATCGCTCTGTAAAGGTCGGGTTTAATGAGATAGCTTCTGAAAATGCATAAGAATATGAACCCTTATGTTCCGTTTCAAAATAAAGCGTGGGAGAAAGAGTAAGTTCGATTGCATAACAATTTTTTAAATGCACTTTAGCTCTCTCATCTGAATTTTTTTTCCTGTAGTATATCTTTTAATAAATCATCTTCGAAACCTCATTCTACGTCTCATATCTTGGGAAGGAGATTTGCCTTAACACCCACAGGATATAAATATTTGGATATTGGAATCAAAGTGGGACCTATGTCCTTTGTGGAAT